TTTGACCGATAAAGATCTTCGTAGAATATGCAGGAACCAATATGAGCATCCAGGTTCCGCTATTTGTTATTGACCGGAGATGAGTCTCGGTCATGTCTACATAGTTCTCAAACCCATAGGGTCCGCACGCTTAACGTTCGGTGACGATCGATATTATGAGTTTATGTGTTTTGATGTACCGAAGGTAGTTCGGAGTCCCAAATGTGATCACGGACATGACGATGAGTCTCGAAATGGTCGAGACATAAATATTGATATATTGGATGGCTATACTCGGACACCAGAAGGGTTTCAGGTGATCTCGGAGAAAATCGGAGTGCCGGAGGGGTTACCGGAACCCCCCGGGGACTAATGGGCCTTGATGGGCCCTAGTGGAGAGAGAGAGGGGCAGGCCGCGCACCCCCTCCCCTTGAGTCCGAATAGGACAAGGAAGGGGGGCCTTGCCTTTCCCCTCTCCCACTCCTTCCTTCCCCCTCCTAGTGGGACTAGGAAAGGGGAGTCCTACTCCCACTAGGAGAAGGAGTCCTCCTCTTGGCGCGCCCTCCTAGGGCCGGCCGGCCTCCCCCCTTGCCCCTTTATATACGGGGGCAGGGGCACCCCATGGACACATAAGTTGATCATTGATCTTTTAGCCGTGTGCGGTGCCCCCTCCACCATAATCCACCTCGGCCATATCGTAGCGGTGCTTAGGCGAAGCCCTGCGTCGGTAGCTTCGTCAACACCGTCATCACGCCGTTGTGCTGATGGAACTCTCCCTCGAAGCTCTACTGAATCATGAGTTCGTGGGACGTCACCGAGCTGAACGTGTGCAGATTGCGGAGGTGTCGTACGTTCGGTACTAGGATCGGTCGATCATGAAGACGTACGGCTACATCAACCGCGTTGTCATAACGCTTATGCTTACGGTCTACGAGGGTACGTGGACGACACTCTCCCCTCTCGTTGGTATGCATCACCATGATCTTGCGTGTGCGTAGGAATTTTTTTTGAAATTACTATGTTCCCCAACACTGGACACTGGAGCTGGAGCCCCATCTAACCCTAAATCATTTAGGTTTGAAAAATGGTGGCTATCCCAACCTGGGTTCCACCAAATGGTTACAGAAGCTTGGGATTATGTGTCCTCTTCTAACTCTTCAGTTGATAACTGGATGACTAAAACTAGGGTCCTTAGGAAGAAACCAAAAGGTTGAAGTATTAACAGAGAAGCAGCTTTGAAAAAGAAAAAAGGCACTCCTTGTGGAGTTTGATAACCTTGATGTCCTATCTGAATCTTAACAGCTCTCTGCTACTAATTTTGATAGGATGAAGAATATTAAAAAGGAACTTGATGAGATTTGGAAAAAAAGAGGAAACTGCCTTACGGCAGAGATCTAGGGATAGGAAAATTTTGGAGGGAGATAGGAATAATGCTTACTTCCAGGCCCTTGCCAATCATAGAAAGAATCATCTTACTGAGTTAAATGGCCCCGATGGGGTGGTTACTTCTACCAAGGATATGCTTGAGGTAGCTACTTCCTTCTATAAGGAACTATTTGCTTTTGAACCTAAACCTGACATCCACTTGGGTGCTGATTTTTGGTCCATTGAGTAGATGGTTAGTGATGAGGAGAGATAACTTCTAGAGATACCTTTTTCTGAAGAGGAAATTAAGCAAGCTATTATGAGTTCTTATTCTAGTGGTGCTCCGGGCCCTGATGGCCTCCCCTTTTTGTTTTACCAAACCTTCTGGGAGTTGATCAAAAAGGATTTTATGTGGATGGTTAAAGATTGTGAGAATGGTGATTTAGACATGTATAAATTGAATTATGCCATTATTACCCTCATACCTAAAGTGCCTCTGGCTAGAGACATGAATTTTTTTAGACCTATCGGTTTGAGTAATTGTGTTGTCAAGATTTTCTCTAAAGCTATGACCAGTAGGGTGTCTCCTTTGTGTGACAAGCTTATTTCTAATAATCAGACTACCTTTATTAAAGGGGGGGGTTCATTTTAGAAAGTGTGGTTATGGCCCATGAGGTTATTCATGATATACACATGTCTGGCTCTAGTGGATTGATTCTTAAACTTGATTATGAGAAAGCCTATGATAGAGTGAGTTGGGATTTCTTGAAGGAAATGCTTCTTTCTAGAGGTTTTGACAGTAAATGGGTTGGTTGGGTTATGTCCACTATCCACCAGGGGACTTTCCAGGTTAGAATTAATGACATAAATGGCCCCCACTTTGCTGGGGGGGGGGGAGGCTTGAAGCAAGGTGATCCTCACTCACCTCTGTTGTTTAATTTGGTGGCTGATGTCTTTTCTAAGATGCTCCAGAAAGCTGTCAATAGAAACTTGATTTGTGGACTGCTGCCCCATGCCATTCCTGGAGGGTTGGTCAGCCTACAATATGTTGATGACACTATTCTTTTCCTAGATAATTCGCTAGCTTGTGCTAAAAATTTGAAATGGATTCTAGCTTGCTTTGAGAAACTTTCTGGTTTGAAGATTAATTTTCACAAGAGTGATTTGCATACTATTAATGTTTCTGATCAAAAAGACTTTGCTCAAGTTTTCTGTTGTCAACTTGGGGATTTTCCCTTTAAATATTTAGGGGTGCCTTTGCATTTTAAAAAACTTAGAAGGAAAGATCTTCAATGCATTATAGACAGGAGTATTAAGAATATAGCTGGTTGGCTAGGGAGATTTCTCTCCTACAGGGGCAAATTGATCCTTCTCACTACTTTTATTGCCAGTATTCCTGCCTACTTAATGTCTATTGTTAAATTTCCCAAATGGGCTATTGATATGATTACATCTCAAATGTCTCACTTCTTTTGGGGTAATGTGGGTGAAAACCACAAATACCATCTTGCTAGCTGGGGGATGATTTCCAGGAAGAAAGAATTTGGTGGTATGGGGTTCCCAACCTTAGAGAGTTCAATATGGCCCTTTTGGCTTCTTGGGGGAAAAGATTTTATGATGGTAGAGATGGTGATTGGAAAAAGATTATGGCCTACAAATATAATACTAACAATCCCAACTTCTTCAACACTAGGACTAATTTGGGGTCCCCATTCATGAAAAGTCTATCCTGGGCACTTGCAGCATCTAAAAACTTTTATAGGTGGATCCCTAGAGATGGGAAGAGTATTGCCTTCTAGCATGACATTTGGATTGGGGACTGCTCCCTAAAAACTGCATTTTGGGACTTGTTTGGCATTTGTCAACAGCAAGAGGCCACTCTTGCGCAGGTCTGGGTGGGAGGTGAACTCCAGCTCACTTTTAGGAGATGTGTGGGTGAAGGGGCTCTGGTTAGATGAGATGAGCTAACTAATTTAGTTAAACAGGTTATGATGTCTGACTCCCCAGACCAACCTGTGTGGATGCTGGATTCTTCCAGCAAGTATTCTGTCAAGTCTTTTTACAAAATGATCAACTTTGAAGGATACATGCTGAGATTAAAGATGATATATGGAAAATTAAGATCCCTCCCAATATACATGTTTTCCCGTGGTTGATTTACTACAACAAATCTGTAGGTTTCAGGGGGGTACGATCCACCGCGTTCCTGTGCTTTACATGAAATGGAAAGATCAGAACGAACAAGCAGAGCAACTTGATAGCTTGACCAGGGATAATCTGGCAAGCGTAGACATGTAGAGAATAAGACATGTGTCTTTTGTAATGAACCAGAAACAATTCAGCATCTCTTTTTTGATTGTATTGTTGCTAGACAAGTGTGGGAGCTGATGGCTGGAAGTTTTAGCATTAATATACCTGATTCTTTTGCTATGTTATCTTCCTTTTGGAAGAAAAGGAAACATTGTGAAGCTGTAAACATAACTACTGCTATTGCCTTGTGGAGCTTATGGCGTTTACGAAATAACTTTGTTTTCCAGAGGCGAAGATGGCGAAGTATATGATGTGCTTTGGATCTGTTGGACGCAACAATTAGGCAATATAAAATTCTATGTTCAGAGGCTTAGGGTGCGCATAGGGGAATTGCTTAGGATGCTAAACTCTAGAGCATGGTCTCCCCTAGATCCTCTTAAAAACTCTGTTGTAATAGGGTAGTTTCTTAAAATACTTGTGGTCCCCGTCTATGGCAGTAGTGCCGTCGAGCGTTGTTAAACAGTCTTTGCTTTGGTTTTGCCTGGCTTTAATAAAAATTGAGGCGGGGGAAACCTCTTTCAGTTCAAAAAATAAACACTATAATTTGAGTACAACCCGATTATACTCAAATTCAGTTATTTCCTGCTCCTTGTAGCCCACCATACAAATGGAACAGGTCAATTTATTTTCTTCAAAACCGTTAGCTATTTGTTGCATGCGGCACAAATAACAATTCTATTCCTAAATATAAGTGTATCACTATTTCAACTACATTCATCATGAAATATACTTTGATATTTTATATATTTTGTATTGTAAATCTCTATATATTTTGCTATGAAGTTGGTCACGCACAGACACCTTATATTTAGGAAGTTTTGGGGGACAAGTAATTCCAGGGAGAACAAGACAAGTATAACAAACAGGCAACCGAAAGAAAAACACAATCACAGAAGGGACTAATGGCATTGATTTCGTGGTGTATTTCAAAACAAAAGGCGACCAAAGGAAAAACACAATCATCAGAAACAATGACAAAGCTAATATGCGGTGCAAATTAAAACAGAGGTATCGGCAGTCGGCCAAGTGTGGTACTGACAACTATGACAGAGCACAAGAATGCAATAGTAACATGCATTACCCTATTGCAAAGTGAAATAAGCATTCCCGGTAATAGATAAGACATATAATGACAGAACAGAACGACACATTCAACATCTCCAAATTTGTCTGAACAGGAATTGGTTTCATAGAAGACAAGCATCAGGCAAGTCCTTGCCGCTACATCAAAATGTTCTTTCATCACAAACTTAAAGCATAGCTAAAACAGTTCTAGATATCTTGTAAAACACATTCATTCCAAAATCTCCAGCCAAAAGCAAGAGACCCTCAAATGCACATCCATCTTAACGGTTAGCCTTGGCAACACGCTCAATCTCGTCCTTCTTCTTGATGGCATAGCTGCAACCAAGTTAAAGGCATCCATGAGCACACACTATCTTCAATTCAAATCGACAGACAAGGCAAAGAGAGGTAGGGTTTATGGTATACCTGTTGGATGAGCCCTTGGCAGCATTGATCAGCTCATCAGCGAGGCACTCAGCAATGGTCTTGACGTTCCTGAAGGCGCTCTCCCTGGCACCAGTAGTCAGAAGGTAGATGGCCTGGTTCACCCTCCTGAGGGGAGAGATATCCACAGCCTGTCTCCTCACAACACCAGCAGACCCAATACGGGTAGCATCCTCACGTGGACCACTGCAACAGGGTAATAGCACATCAAGCAAAGTTCATACAGAAATCAAGAGCCCAGATACAACACAAATTCACAATTACAGTTAAGGCACTCAGTAAAAAAGCATGTATCTAGGGAATGGACACTGTCACTCACTAGAATTTCCTCAGCACTGCTATCAGAATAGAGCATTTTGAGGCAAGAAATTTTACGTGCTGCTAGCAAACTAGTATACAATATTTATCAGATATACAGGTCTGCTAAACCTAATACTGACATCCATTACTAAAACATCTAGAAGAAAACAGTAAAACTGGTAGAGCCTAATATGAAGCAGGAATTTGCCAATACCGTTTAGCGGACTACCACATGGCTATCATCCGAATCACAGTACAAGATTTCAACTAAGAGATGAACCTGTTAATATTCTACTATGTACTAGACATATCATTAAACAAATTAAGCTGACAATGATATTCGACTACCAACACCACTCACTCAACTGGATCTAACACTAGTCACTGCCGGCAAACTACCATCACCTAGAGACAAGACTGCAGAGAGGAGAAACAGATGGAGACCGGTACCTGTTGATGATGGCATCAACGATGATCTGGATGGGGTTGGCGTCGGTGAGGAGGTGGATGATCTCCATGGTGTGCTTGATGATGCGGACGGCCATGATCTTCTTCCCGTTGTTGCGCCCGTGCATCATGAGGGAGTTGGTGAGGCGCTCGATGATGGGGCACTGCGCCTTGCGGAAGCGCTTGGCCGAGTAGCGGCCGGCCGAGTGCGGCAGGAACGTGTAGTGCTTCATCGACGTCACCGCGAGGTAGTCGTTCAGCGAGATGTCGGTCACCTGCGAAAACACGGTTAGCCACCGGCCAGATCTGCGCCTCCCCCGGCCGCCGCCGGAGCGGCGGCCGGCGGGAAAGGGAGGAGGGGTTGCGAGGGCGTTCTCACCTGAACATCCTCGAAGGTCCAGCGGTTGAAGAGCTTCACGTCGCCCCCGGGCACCGGCTCCACGACCGCCATGGCTGAGGGTGTGGTGGGGGAGGGGAGGTGGCGGCGGCGGGTGCAGGAGAGTTGGAAAACCTAGTGGAATCGGCGCGCGGGGCGGGGATGGGGGCGAGGGGATCCAGTTTTATACAGCTGGGGAGCTAGGGTTTCTGATCTGACGGTGGCGGGGCGCTCGCGCATCGGCCAGACGGACGGTGGAGATCCGATTCGCTGAACCCGCTCCTTTTTTTCCTGCGGGGACTTCGCTGAACCCACTGGTGTACATGTTTTTCTTTTCGGCCCAAATCAGTATCCAAAAAAAAACAGCATCCAAATCCAGCACCCTAATTTTCCACTAGCAAAGGAAAAGAAAATTCTCTAATAAATAATAAAGAAATAAAGGAAAATACAACCACCTTAATTTCACACTACATGTGTACATGAGTAGTGAGAATGACACCAAAATTGTTTCAAAAAAAAACATGACACCAAAATTCACATGAATTTTAAAAGTAGCATTTTTGGGCAAACATATTAATCATATTTTAAGGGGTCATGATGGTATTTATTCACGTTGCCTCTTGTTTTCAGGGGAACTCGTGTAGCATCTACATAAACTTGCACATTTAAAAAAGGTTATACATCTGATATTTGTTTTATGTGAACTAGGGATTTTATTCAACGTTCAATACAGAAGGAGTACAAAGTGATATCTGGTATAATCCCTAGCCACATGTAGCGACCTATAGGGAGAGTCGAAGATGCTTTTGATGTTGCATGTGCTTCAAAGTTGGCCTCCCGACTCTCACAACGAAGACTAACAATCACAAGATCTTTTCTAGTTCAAAACCAAATCATAGGAAGTCGCAGCACCCCTATTGATGTTTGAGATAACTTCTATGCAATCAGACGTGATCATATGTCCGAGGTTGAAGTCTTGATGTGGAACTGAGGCTCTTTGCCCTTCCTTGTCCCTGCAAACGGCTGCCGTACACCCATATTGCCTTGACGAGAGCGTCCACTATCCACATCTATTTTAGCGACAACTCCATCTGGTGCAATCCAAATATGGACCCTTTTGGCACAGTGTAGCCGAAAAGTTGCTCGAAACAGGCAATAAGTTTTCGGATCTTTCATGTATCTACTAACAAAGCACGTGGTGGATAGAGGACTCTAAAATTCACTATCATGAACTACACGTCTTCTCGCCCATCAAATAGCCCACATGGTGATTAACTCTTGCTAGATCTTGCTTATTCATGGATTTAAAAAGCCATAAACGTGTGTCATTTGTCTGGTTCGAAATCACATGCTCGAGCACCTCTCCATCTCCCGAGGCGCGCCCAGGTGGGTTGTGCCCACCTCGAGAACCTTCCGGACTCCGTTTTTCTCCCGTTTGCTGGTTTCCCAAGATAAAAAAACCTTTATATACCCCCCGAACATGACCACCGTATTGCAGAGAAATCTTTTGTTCTTCTTTCTTGCCGTTTTCATGGTAGATCTATAATATGTCATCCCAAGGTTCGGAAGAGGATTGCCCGGTTTCTTACCAGCCTTTGGATAAGAATATCTTCAAAGACACCTACCCCTACATATGGTTCACCAATGAGGAAGATGAAGATGAACTAGTCCCCCCTCGTTTCAAGCAAGAAAGCAAGGAGGCATTATGCAAGAAGATAATAAAGTTTGAGATGGAGAATGAGGAGCTGAGGATAGATAATTTTACCCTCCGACGCAAGCTGGAAAAAAGGATAAGCCTATTACATCATCACCACCACCACCTTCTTCATTACCAAAGGAGACTTGAGTTCATGGTATGGACATTCCCCTTGGCTTGTGCCAAGCTTGGGGGAGGTGTCCCGGTATCGTATCACCACCACTATCCTTGCCTTTATCTATTTTAGTTCGATCTTCAGTTATCTTTTGACTTAGTTGAATAAAAGCTTAGTTCAATCCTTCAAGTGTTTGCTTAGTGATCTATCTATGTAGTCGTGTTCGAGATATATAATAAAGTTTAGTTTATGTTTTGCTTTCTTTACTTTTAAGTTTCAATAAAAAAGGGAAATAAGTGGAAAAGATCATATGCTAATATTATGGTGAGTAATGATATCACACAAGGAAAAGTATAAGTGGTAAAATTTATTGGAGATTGACAAACATAGCATTGGTCAATGATGCAACTCATGAAAAAATTAATAAGGAAAGAGAGATTCACATGCAAATACACTATATTTCGATGTTGTGATGAATTGTTACTTGTTCATGAGAAGTTATATGATAAAAGTTGTTTGATAAAGTTTCATGTTAAAAGTTCTATAATAAAGCTTTGTTGTTGTTATAATAATATGCATGATGCTTCTATGTCTGTATTGTGTTTTTATCGACACCTCTCTCTCTAAGAATGTGGACATGTTTTTCGATTTCGGTTTCCGCTTGAGGACAAGCAAGGTCTAAACTTGGGGAGTTGATACATCAATTTTGCATCATGTTTTCTTACTGTTATTTATAATGTTGTTATGAATAATAATGCTTTATGGAGTAACTCTAATGCCTTTTCTCTCATAATATGCAAGATTTACACAAGGAGGGAGAATACCGACAGCTGGAATTCTGGATCTGAAAAGGCTACGTCAGAGTTACCTATTCTGCACATCTCCAAATGAGTCAAAACTTCACAGAGATTTTTTATGGAATATTTAAGAATTATTGGAGCAAATAACTACCAGAGGGTGCCCACCAGGTGGGCACAAACCACCTGGGCGCGCCCTGGTGGGTTGTGCCCTCCTCGGCCCACCTCTGGTGCCCATCTTCTCGTATATAGGTCATTTTGACCTAGAAAAAATCAGGAGGGGACTTTTGAGATGAAGAGCTGTCGTCTCGAGGCGGAACTTGGGCAGGAGCACTTTTGCCCTCCAGCGGAGTGATTTCGTCAGGGGAACTTCCCTCCTGGAGGGGGAAATCATCGTCATCATCATCACCAACAACTCTCCCATCTTGGGGAGGGCAATCTCCATCAACATCTTCAACAACACCATCTCCTCTCAAACCCTAGTTCATCTCTTGTGTTCAATCTTTGTACCGGAACCTTAGATTGGTACTTGCGGGTGACTAGTAGTGTTGATTACATCTTGTAATTGATTACTATATGGTTTATTTCGTGGAAGATGATGACCCACAAGTATATGGGATCAATCGTAGTCCTTTCGATAAGTAAGAGTGTCGAACCCAACAAGGAGCAGAAGGAAATGACAAGTGGTTTTCAGCAAGGTAATGTCTGCAAGCGCTGAAATTGTAAGTAACAGAGTAGTTTGATAGCAAGATAATTTGTAACGAGCAAGTAACGGTATTAGTAACAAAAGTGCAGCAAAGTAGCCCAACCTTTTGAGGCAAAGGACATGCCAAAACGGTCTCTTATGATAAGCAAAGCATTCTTGAGGGTACACGGGAATTTCATCTAGTCACTTTCATCATGTTGGTTCGATTAGTGTTCGCTACTTTGATAATTTGATATGTGGGTGGACCGGTGCTTAGGTGATGTTCTTACTTGAACAAACCTCCTACTTATGATTAACCCCCTCGCAAGCATCCGCAACTACGAGAAAAGTATCAAGAATAAATTCTAACCATAGCATTAAACTTTGGATCCAATCAGTCCCTTACGGAATAGCGCATAAACTAGGGTTTAAACTTCTGTCACTCTCGCAACCCATCATCTAATAATTACTCCATAATGCATTCCCTTAGGCCCAAATATGGTGAAGTGTCATGTAGTTGACGTTCACATGACACCACTATGGGAATCACAACATACATACTATCAAAATATCATACACATATCAAGTTCACATGATTACTTGCAACACGATTTCTCCCGTGAACTCAAGAACAGAAGTAACTACTCACAAATGATAATCATGCTCAAGATCATAGGGGTATTAAATAGCATAATGGATCTGAACATATAATCTTCCACCAAATAAACCATATAGTAATCAATTACAAGATGTAGTCAACACTACTAGTCACCCACAAGTACCAATCCGAGGTTCCGGTACAAAGATTGAACACAAGAGATGAACTAGGGTTTGAGAGGAGATGGTGTTGTTGAAGATGTTGATGGAGATTGCCCTCCCCAAGATGGGTGAGTGGTTGGTGATGATGATGACGGTGATTTTCCCCCTCCAGGAGAGAAGTTCCCCCGGCGGAATCGCTCCGCTGGTGGGCAAAAGTGCTCCTGCCCAAGTTTCGCCTCGAGACGGAGTCGCTCCGTCCCGAAAGTCCTCTCCTTATTTTTTTCTATGTCAAAATGACTTATAGACCAGAAGATGGGCACCGGAGTTGGGCTGGGCTGAGCACAACCCACCAGGGCGCGCCCAGGTGTCTTGTGCTCACCAGGTGGCCCCCCTCCGGTAGTTATTTGCTCCAGTATTTCTTATTTATTCCATAAAAAATCCTTGTGAAGTTTCAACTCATTTGGAGTTGTGCAGAATAGGTAGCCCGACGTAGCTTTTTCAGGTCCAGAATTCCAGCTGCCGGAATTCTTCCTTTTTGTGTGAACCTTGCATGTTACGAGAGAAAAGGCATTAGACTTACTCCAAAAAGCATTATTATGCATAAAAACATTATAAATAACAGTAGGTAAACATGATGCAAAATGGATGTATCAACTACCCCAAGCTTAGACCTCGCTTGTCCTCAAGAGAAAACCGAAATCAAAAAACATGCCCACATGCTTAGAGAGAGAGGTGTCGATAAAAACAAAATACGAACATAGAAGCATCATGTAAATTATTATGACAACAACAAATTTTAACATAAAACTTTTATCATAGACTTCTCATGAATAAGTAGCAATTCATCACAACATCTAAGTATAAAGCATAAACTCTATTGGAAACCAAAAAACTATGTTCTCAGTCAACTTTGCAACTGCAATTCATCATCTTTTTAGGAAGGGTCACATATCGAGGCCTTTAGGCAAGTCCACATACTCAACCATCATATAGTCTTCTATGATTGCTAACACTCACCGCATACACATGAGCAAAACGTTTCAACCGGACACATAGAAAGATAAGGGCTTATAGTTTTGTCTCCCAACGTATTCACCTCAAGGGTGATGTCAACAATAATAACTCATGCTACCCACATCCAACTGGATATATGTGCCTAGATCTTCCCTCGCCACACTATGCTTGCCAAAAGAGAAAAATAAAAAGGAATAGAGAGAAAAACTTTGACTCTTTGCATGAGAGTAAATACATAAAAGTAAAAGATAGACCCTTCACAGAGGGAAGCAGAGGTTGCCATGCGCTTTTTGTTTGTATGCTCAATCCCTTAGTGCAAAAGAACGTCACGTTATATTGCCCCTTATGATAGCAATCTTTATTATGCAGTTTATCGCTTTTATTCTTTGCCATCACAAGTTCATACAACGCTCAATTTTCTCTTACACTAAATGATCTAACACTTTTAGAAGCAATTTTTGCTGCCTTATTGCATCGATGACAACTTACTTGAAGGATCTTACTCAATCCTTAGGTAGGTATGGTGGACTCTTGAAAATAAGATTTGGGTTTAAGGGTTTTTGGATGCACAAGTAGTATCTCTACTTGGTGCGGAATTTTTGGCTAGCATAGATTGGGGGCAAGCACCACATGTTGAAGGATCTATGACAATATAACTTCTATGTGAATATGAACACACATAAATCATTACGTTGTCTTCCTTGTCCAATGTCAATAATTTTGGCATATAATATTTTGATGGGGGCTCACAATCACAAAAGATTTCCAAGATAGTGTATTTGCATGTGAATCTTCTCTTCCCTTATTAATTCTTTCATGAATTGCATCATTGACCAATGCTATGTTTGTCAATCTCCAATAAAATTTTCTACTTATACTTTTCCTTATGTGATGTCATTACTTACCATAAGATTAGCATATGACCTTTTTCATTTATTTCCTTTCCTTTTATTGATCATGAAAGTAAAGAAAACAAAACTCAAACTAAACTTTATTATATATCTTGCACATGATTCAAGGATAGATCACTAAGCAAACACTTGAAAAGAAAGGGTCGAACTAAACTTTTATTCATCTAAAGCAAAATATAACTATGGATCGAACTAAGATAAGTAAAGGCAAAAGATAGTGGAGGTGATACGATACCGGAGCACCTCCCCCAAGCTTGGCGAAAGCCAAGGGGAGTGCCCATACCCGATACTCAATTTTCTTTTGGTGATGAAGAAGGAGGTGGTGGTGATGAGGTGGTAGAAATCTTCTCCTCGGGTTTCCATGGTAGAGGCTCACCATTATAAGAGTAGGAGTGAGTCTCACGGGTCCTGCAACTGGCAGCCAAACTCATACCTTTAAACCTCACCTCATATTCGAAGACTTGGTTTTGGAGATCGTAGGTCTGGCTTTCAAGGAAGTTGATTTGCTCGTTGAAGGTGAAGACGATGTCCTTCATGGACTTGCCATCCACCTTGAGATCATGAGTGTAGTCCGCGATCATGAGGTGATTGGCATTGAGTCCACATTCCACCATCCCCTTACACTGAAAGACATCCTGCTCCATAGCTTCAAGCCTGGCCTCCATGGTTCCCGTCCCTTTGGGACCTTGCACGTCGCAGATGTGAAGCACCCCCTCATGCATCTGGATGACCTGTGGGTGCTGCATCACCTCCCACAAATATGGGTTGACGACGTTCTCGAAGAACTTGTCCTTGGAGGAGCTTGAAGCGGCCATGGTGGATTAGATTTGTCAGAAAACAGTAAGGAAAAAACAGAAGATTTCTCCATGATACGGAGGTCAATAGGTTCGGGGGTATATAAAGATTTTTTATCTTGGGAAACAAGCAAACAGAAGAAAAACGGAGTCCGGAAGGTACCCGAGGTGGGCACAACCCACCTGGGCACGCATGGCAGGCGCGCCCTGGTGTCTTGTGCCCACCAGGGGTGTCTTCCTGGTTGTTTCTTATTTTCCTAAAAAAATTATATTCCAAACTGGACAGAAAATATTTTTGCAGATTTTTCGGAGTCCGTTTACTTACCGTATCACATACCTCCTTTTTTCATGATTCTGGAGTGTTCCGGAAGGTTTCTTTTATGTGTTCTTCCGGTGTCATAGTTTGGATAATATTGCTTTCAACGTTAATGGGCGTACCTGAGATATAATGTTTTATTCGTTGCCCATTAACAACCTTCGGGTTAGTACCTTCACCATTATTTATTTTGATAGCTGCAGATCGATAAACCTCCTCGATAACATAGGGTCCTTCCCATTTGGAGAGGAGTTTTCCTGCAAAGAATCTAAAACAGGAGTTTTACAAAATAACATATTCTCCAACTTTGAACTCACGCTTTGGATTCTTTTATCATGCCATCTTTTAACCTTTTCTTTAAATAACTTGGCATTTTCATAAGCTTGGGTTCTCCATTCGTCTAAAGAGCTAATATTAAATAACCTCTTTTCACCAGCAAGTTTGAAATCATAGTTGAGTTCTTTAATTGCCTAATAAGCTTTATGTGCTAACTCAAGAGGCAGATGACAAGCTTTTCCATAAACCATTTTATAGGGAGACACACCCATAGGATTTTTATATGTTGTTCTATAAGCCCAAAGTGCATCATCTAATTTCTTAGGCCAATTCTTCCGAGACCTATTGACAGTCTTTTGTAAAATTAATTTTATTTCTCTATTACTAAGTTCAACTTGACCGCTAGACTGAGGATGATAGGGTGATGCAATTCTATGGATAACATCATACTTGGAAAGCATTTTACGGAAAGCACCATGAATAAAATGTGAACCACCATCAGTAATTAAATATCTAGGGACTCCAAACCTGGGGGAAATAACTTCTTTGGGCATTTTAATAGAGGTGTTGTGATCAGCACTACTAGTTGGAATAACTTCTGCCCACTTAGTAACATAATCAACAACAACCAAAATATGAGTATACCCATTAGAGGAAGGAAAGGGACCCATGTAATCAAATCCCCAAACATCAAATGGTTCAACAGCAAGTGAATAATTCATAGGCATTTCTTGACGCTTACCGATATTGCCTATTCTTTGACATTCATCACAAGATAAGACAAACTTACGAGCATCCTTGAAGAGAGTAGGCCAATAAAACTCAGATTGCAATACCTTGTAGCAGTTCTGTCTCCCGCATGATGCCCTCCATAAGCTTCGGAGTGACATTTCCGTAGGGTTTGTCCCTATTCATGCCCAGGTACACAACCTCTAATAATACCATCTACTCCTTCTTTATAAAGATGTGGGTCATCCCAAAAGTAATGTCTTAAATCATAGAAGAATTTTTTTTCTTTTGTTGGTATGTGAAACTAGATGGTAAATATTTAGCAACAATGTAATTAGCATAGTCAACATACCGAGGAGTGTTATGAGAAACATTTATTACAGCTAACTACTCATCAGGAAAACTATCATCAATAGGAAGTGGGTTTTTCATTATACTAGTGGGAATTTTCATTATAGAACTATCATCAATGATGGGCTTCCTCAAAGTGCCCTAGGTCTTCGTGAGCAAGCGAGTTGGATGCACACCCACTTAGTTTTCCTTTTGAGCTTTCATAAACTTATAGCTCTAGTGCATCCGTTGCATGGCAATCCCTACTCACTCACATTGATATCTATTAATGGGCATCTTGAAAGCACAAGTGCTCCCCGGGTGATTTTGATAATTAATGACAACATATCTCTTGTTGGACTAATACTTTCATATAGTATATTTCAGATAAGTTCAACATTGGAGTGGTGTGGACAAGAGGATGTGGAACCCCTTCAAGTTGATAGGGACAGAAGATTGGCAAAAGCTCAAAAGCTCAAGACTCTACATTTTCATTTTAGTGATCCAAGATCACATTGAGTCCATAGGAAAGCCAATACTATTTAAAAAGGGATGAGGTGTTGCTTAATGGCTTGCTTGCTCAAAGTGCTTAGTGATATGCTCCAAAGCCCTCAACCACTTTCTCATTTCCACGTATGTCCCAAACCTAAAGTCAAACTCGGCCGCACCGATTTGATCCATTCGGCGCCACCGAGTTCATTTGACATAGCCATTGCCAGAAACCCTAATCACACTACAAAAAAAGACACATCTGTGACATTTTGGGCCGAACGAATTTTTTTCCTGTCATACTTATGACACTTCTATGACGATAATTGTGACAAAACCCGGTATCATCATAGATGTGGTGGGCTCCTACTTCCATGACAAAAAATCATGACAAAAAATGGGCTTTTCATCCTGGGCGGGCCGGAGACGCAGCTGCATGACATTCTTTGGGCTGTCCATGACGGAAAAAACATGGTAGAAGCGAGGGCGAGGAAAATATCGGGGTGTTCCCCGGTTAAGGTGGGTGGTCGGGGCCGAGTGATGCGTGTTTCTCTCGTACATGCACGCGCGTGGGTGCGAGGCGTTGGGCTCTAACTGAACCCGAGTGTGACGCCCTCGATTCAATCGTACACTAATCATACACGCAAATGTGTACGATCAAGATCAAGGACTCACAGGAAGATATCACAACACAACTCTAGACACAAATTAAAATAATACAAGCTTTATATTACAAGCCAAGGGCCTCGAGGGCTTGAATAGATAAGCTCGAAAACACAAGAGTCAGCGGAAGCAACAATATCTGAGTACAGACATCAGTTAGACAAGTTTGCCTTAAGAAGGCTAGCCCAAAAGCATCTACGATCGAAAAGGCAAGGCCTCCTGCCTAGGAGCCTCCTAACTACTCCTGGTCGTCGTCGGTCTCCACGTAGTAGTAGGCATCGACGGTGGCATCTGGCTCCTGGGCTCCGACATCTAGTTGCATCAACCAGAAAGAAGAAGAAGGGGGAAAAGGGGGAGCAAAGCAACCGTGAGTACTCATCCAAAGTACTCGCAAGCAAGGATCTACACTACATACGCAACATTATTAAAGGAAGGCTGTATATGTGGACTGTGCTGCAAAAATGCCAAAATAGAGAGAAGGCCTAGTCCAATCAAAGACTAGCATCTTCTGAAAACCACCATCTTGCAGCAAACAGGAGGGAGTAGAGTAGCATAAAGTAAAGTAGTAGTGGTAGTAGTGTTATCAACCTCGGCCAGAGATCCTTTCTTGACTCCCAGCGAGAAAGCAATCCCAGAGCCATACTATCCGGTTCCAATCATAATCCAATTCTCATCACAATCCAATTCTCATCACAAGTATCCAGTTCTAGTTATATCGATCGGGATACAACTCCAAGTGTCCTTTACCGTAGGACAGGCTATCGATAGATGTTTTCTTCCCTGCAGGGGTGCACCAACTTACCCACCACGCTCGATTAACTCCAGCCGGACACACTTTCTTGGGTCATGCCCGGCCTCGGCCAAACAATACGCCACAATCCGACTAGGCTTAATAGAGAGGTCAGCATGCCGGACTAAACCTATGCCCCCAGGGGTCATGGGCCATCTTCCCGGGAACTCCTGCACGTTGCGAGGGCGGCCGGTGAGCAGACCTAGCTACCTCCTTCAACAAGGTAGGCGCTTACGTAGTCCAACCCGGCGCGCGCCGCTCAGTCGCTGACGTCTATTAAGCTTCGGCTGATGTATACGACACAGAACGCCCATACTATGCCCACGTGATGGTTAGTGCTATCAGGCCAGAGGCCCCTCGGATCAAATATCCAAATCGTAGTGGATTAGGAACACGCGGTAATAAAGCAGAGACTCACGAAAGATGTGACCCCGTTGCCCCGTCTCGAGGACTCGTGGCAAGGGCTAGGAATGCCCGGCCATGCCTCGTAATTATCTCGCGGGCACCCTCCAGGTCAACCCGTCTCCACATCACTCGCAATTAAGCTCGCGCGGGTACCCCTCAAGGCCGACCCGTCTTTAGTAACATGGTTCAATGTAAAGCCATAGTAACCAAAGTAACTGTGTGTCCAAACATCAAGGGGAAAAACCCGAGGAATCACCCCCGGTGAATTCCACTCGATGTAATCATCAAGGTGAACGTAAGAGGAATCACCCCCGAGGTTCACACTTGAGGGGTTGCACGACAGAGTCGTATCGGAAGTGGTTAAGGCGGAATCACCCTCGATGACCATGACCGAATAGCTACACTACAGGGTTAACATCAGAAGTGCTGTAGAGGTCTCACCATCGGCACTCGATAGTAACCCAGTAGTGTCGAACAACTAAGGGGAAAGTGATGTGCGGTGCCGGGGCCTGGTCTTCGATCCCGTTGATCGGGTCTTCAATGATGAAGTAGGGGCAACAAGGACAAGGTGGGGTCACTGATGGATCACTAACCAACCTATACTAAGCAGTTTAGGATAAGTAGGTAAGGGAACAATAAGCATGTTACAAAAGCAGGCTATGCATCAGAATAGGAGCAAACAATAATAGTAGCAAAATCTAATGCAAGCATGAGAGAATGGAATGGGCGATATCGGAATGATCAAAGGGGGGGGGGGCTTGCCTGGTTGCTCAGACAAGAAGGAGGGGTCGTCGGTGACGTAGACGATCACAGGGACATCAACAGCGGTCTCGGGGTCTACCAGAGAGAAGAGCGGGAAGAAACAATAAATATACAACAAACAAAGCATCATAAAGCATAACATGGCAGTACGCGGTGTTAGAGGTGAACTAACGCGGTACTACACGTTGAAGACGGAGAGGTAAAACATCCGGAGGGGTTTTCTTGGTGTTAGGCATTTTCAGACAGATGAAAGAGAGGGGA